TCGGTAATTTCACGTAACTTTATTAGATGTTTGGGATACCAATTAATGATCGTGGGACCTATAAGCCGTTGGCGAAGAATCTTATTACCCGTTCGCACGCCAGTCGGATTATAATGATGATTGAATATTTGGGCTGTGAGCCGCGCTAATTTAACTAAGCTTTCTTTGTAAGACGAGGGGGTAGTCATTAGTTTTACATAAGTTGCTATTTTTTGCACAACCCTCAAATTTAATATATTACATCACATGACCATTAAAGATTTGAGATTATCTCATATTTTGCTCATTTTGGAGGCCACACAAAACAGGGAGTTCTATAAAACCCAAAAAGGCTAACATAATAAAAAATTTTTTGTTGGATAGAATGATTACTTCTAATAGCAAAATATGAACTCGCGGTGAATCTGTTCGACTGAAAACAAAATGTCTAGAATTGTTCCGACTCCCGAACAAGTTGGAGAGTCAAATCACTCAAATCACTCAAATCGCGTTACTTTTGATCTTCCTAAAGGAACCACTTCCCCTAGTCGAACCCCTTCTGTGATATCTGTATCTTCCTTAAATTTCACTTTAAAACAACCGCATTATCACCCTTTACACCAACCTTCATGGCGTGAACAACTAGCTGTTGAACTAGACAATTCAGCAATTGGTAGCATTTGGAAACTGGTGGACGCTTTCATAAACATACTGCTGTGTGCGATCTATATTGCAAACACCGCACACCTGAAAAAAGAACTACCACTGTTCAACGTATGCTTTGAGGCAGTAATGGCGATCTTGTTGCTCATGGAATACATTCCAAAATTTTATATATACGAATTTGAGACATGGGGTTCGTTATTTACCAGGGCTTCACCTATCCTTACGGCCTTAACTGTCAGTCCGGTTTTCGTCGCCGTTTGGGGCTCCGTCATAAAAGAAGCACGTTATGTTGTCTTTTTTTACCCTTTCCGATTTATTCGTTGTTACCTATCGGTGTATGATTGCCTCGTGAGAAGCGAAAAATCAGTTTTGAGATTAGGGCAAGTCACGAGCAGAGTGTTGATCTTTTTGGTGTCAATCTTATTCCTCGTACTTACCAGCTCATCGTTATTGCATGGTGTTGAATATGCATATATGGCAAGTACCTCTAAGTACGATTAACTTTCCCTCAGATCTTATTTGACTAATTCACATTATTCACATTATTTTTCCAGGAAGCGAAAAGCTTAACTTTTTTAGACGGTATATCTATAATCATCTATTCCAATTTAATTTAATTTAATTTGCATTCTTGTATGTTCTTATGTTGATCATTACTACTTGTAAACAGCCGTATTCTTTACAACAATTATGTTGGGTACTGTCGGTTATTTGAGTGATATTGTACCCGACAATGCATTTCCAAGGATTCTTCTTATGGTGATATTCATCACCGGTTTGATATTCATTCCGGTATGAGGATTTTCGTGTGAAATGCTTGTTCAAATTCCTTTTTTCACGTCTTTAATATTTAATATTTGATTTACGTTTTCAGTATTACATAACGGAATTGACCTCTTTGATAAGATCAAAATCGGTTTACGACAAACCATTTCGAAAAATTTCACAACAACCACACGTCATCATAATAGCACCGACAATTGAGCTACCGTCGTTAAGACATTTCTTGAAAGAGTTCTATTCGTTGGCACATGGCTCTGCGACATTTAACACCAAAGTAAGTCGATCTTTAAGAATTGAATACAGCATATGAGCGATTTCAGTTGATTTTTTTTTTTACTTACAAAAGGTAGTCATCCTAAATTCCACTGATCCTACCGAACGTGTAAAAACTTTTTTGTCTGATCCGGTTTATGCTCACCGTGTGCAATACATTCGAGGAAGCCCTCTCGATGCTCGCAGTCTCGAAAAATCTAACGCGAGAAATGCGTCGGCATATTTCATTCTTGCAAAGAAATTTACACAACAGAGCGAGATTATTGACGCGGAAAATGTGTTGAGAGCAATTGTAATATTATTTTACCATATCCTCAATTTAGATTTCATTGTGATGGTTAATAACAGATAAACGTTTCTCAGGCTTTGAGGAAATTTAACGTAGGTCCCAAGCTCTATATTCAATGCATCCTCCCGGAGAATAAAGTGCACTTCGAAAGTTTGAGTAAGCTGTGTTCCACAAAAATAATCCAATATGGAAAATCTAATTAATTGATCGTTCCCTTTCCTTACTGCAGATCCAGAACAAGTCATTTGTACCGATGAATTGAAACTAGCCATTCTTGCCCATTCGTGCCTTACCCCTGGACTTTCCGCTCTTCTGTATGGTCTCATTACTTCGTTCACCTATGAATCCCTGCAAGACCTGAGAAGTGGGAAAAAAAATAGTTCTTTTGGTTTTGACAGTGAAATCATTGAAGACTACGTCACCGGATTTTCCCAATCGATTTATACGACCACCATATCCGATCATTTTTCCGGGCGACGATTTCTGTCAGTGGCTGGTAATCAAATGAGTTTTTAAAAAAATTGCAGTGCAAAAATTCGAAAATGAATCGAGATGAAGAATTTTATGCTAACGTCGTCTTCATATGTGTGTATTTAGAGTGCCTTTACGATAGTTTAGGTGTTGTTCTGTTTGCAATTGGAATTCCAAAACAACGTTCATTTAACAATAATTGGATGTTGGATTATAGCGATGAAGAAGAGAACGAGGATTCTAAAAATTACATGGTACTGATAAATCCTGGCGATTATATTGTTAAAGGGGATGAAATTGGGTTTATCATTGCGTCGAACGGTGCGCTGATTGATGGTGTGTCAAGTTATGAATGGCAGAGTTCGCAAAGTCGAACTAATCTAATGCCAGAACGACATATGCCCTCGGAAAAGCATCCTTTGTTAGCGGGGGATAAATTGAAGAACATTGGTGGTGGCAATTATGACACCAAGAAACCAACAATCTCATCTGATCATCAGCATTACGATTACCCTCATAGGCCGGATTCATCTACGTTAAGACGTCATCGTGCACTTTCAACGCCTCTCTCATTTTCTGTGGATTATCCTCATGATCTTGCATCACACGATTATTCAGCAATGTCCAGCAATCTACCATCCTCTCACACACAAGACATCGAACATTCACTGATAGATTCGATTGTTGGACACATTCTATTGTGTGATTACTCTCCAACATTATTTCCTCGAAATCTTGATTGCTTCGTTAGTCCATTGCGTAAATCATATTTAGAGAAAATTACGCCCATAATAATTCTATCACCTGTGAGGCCAAGCCAGAGCCAGTGGAAAATATTGAGTCAATTCGATCAGGTTTATTTTGTGCAAGGAAATCCAATGACAAGAGAAGGTCTAGAGAATGGTCGAGTGAGATATGCAAAACAAGCTGTAAGTGACCATTTTTTATTTAATGAATTTTCCGGAGTGTTACTCAACATAAACATGCTACAAACAGGTGATCCTGACAGATTCCACAAGGATATTAAGGTAGAAAGTCTATGCCGTTATGCATGTACAACCTTATTGAATCTTCACATCTCTAATAAAGTGACATCCTGCAAAAATAGGAATGGTGAAAAAGCTGAAGACGCATCATCAATGTTGGTATTCCTAAATATTAAGGCAATGTGCAAAGAAGATATTGATGTATTCGTGGAATTCGTTCACATGGATAATATGAAATTTATGTCTGAGGATACTTCAACCATAGATCAAAACATGCAACGTATGTATTATTATTAGTCATTCCCAAGTACGGGAGAAAAATTGTTAATTTTTTGACAACCTTCTCTCTATAGCCCACCTTTCTCCAGCTTTTATGACAGGAACTTGCATCTCATTATCGATGTTGGACAGCATCATTTGTCAATCATTTTATCAGCCACATCTCGTATCCATTGTCGAACAAATGCTCTTTGGTGCGCCTCCATTGCATCTACCTTCCGGTGCCACCTGTCCCGCCCCTGCTCATTCGCACATTTTCCAAATCCCGGTACCTCGACTGTTTGTTGGATATCAGTATAGTGAATTGTTCCGATTTTTGTTAAGCGAGAAAAAGTCCATACCTTTAGGGCTATATCGCGCTAAAAGAGTGAGAACTTCGTCCGGACACATAAAAGAAATGAAATATGTATACACATGTCCAAAACATAATGTTTTACTCAG